CCCAAGAGCTCTGGAGGTTATAAATGAGAAGAATTAGTAATAATCCAAATGAAGATACAAACATGCTTGCAGTAGATCGACTGCTGTTTAGGGAAAAAGCACTTATAAAGGACCAGGCCTCTTAAGTTCAAATCCTTCAGGGAGAACAGCCCAAAGGGTCAACAACAAGAAAAGAAAAGCAGTGTTCTTCATCTTTCGATCTGAATTCTCAGTAGGTTTATCTGAGAAAAGAACTGGGGGAGAAAATTCCACCCTTTTATAAATCATGCACCCCACTTAGTGTTTTAATGGTTTCTTACACAAGAACTATTGTTTTATTGGCAGGTTATTAGATTTTGGACCAGTGTCATTTGATTAGGCTGGTATTAATAATAATGTGGTTTATGCGGTGCAGGGTCAGATCAGTAAAGCGCTGTTAACAGATGACAGGTTTGATTACCGTTGGCTTTAGGCAAGACATATGGATCCCTTAGGAACAGCAGCACAGGCTGGTGGGACAGTTTGCTGGAAAGGTCAAGAACAGGGATGTCAGTATCAAGGGACAGCAAACAGAATAGTCTACAAACTAGCTTTGATAAAATGGTCGAGCTGTGCAGGAGCCATGCACTTCTGCAAACCAGTGCTGCCCAAAAAGGGCAGGCTCCATCTCTTGGGAGCAGAGCTCGCTGTTCCTCAGCCACACACTGAAACCATCAATGTGAAGTTGGAGCTGAACGGGCTGCGTCCAGGAGGGGTGGCTTGCAGCTGGCTTTGAGACTCTGGATCCTGCTCTGCTCCCTGGTGTAATGCAGGCTACAAGATCTACAACCAGGCTCCATGGTCTACGGGCATTTCAGGCCACCAAGCAGACTCAAAATTTCACCACATTCTTCCAGCCCCCAGATCGGTTGCTGTACACCTCACCCATGAAGAGAAGGTCCTTGAAGCTTCTCACCTTGTCTCCCACCTTGGTCACAGTACAGACATCCTCCCCCAGCCAGCGCCAGCCCTCTCTGCACTGCTCTGAGCGTGCACATGTCAAGGAACACAACCAGATCCATACAAAGCTCTATCAAATACATAGGGGAGAACCCAATACTCTAATTCCTTCTGCTAAGTCTTCTTGTTATGAAAAATACACTTCAATGGGTAAAAAACATTACCAGGAATATCTCAGAACTAGCAGTATTCTGTTAGGGTTGTGTAAGAAATTTCTCAATACAAGCATAAGAATGCTCAATTCATACAACAAGTGGATGGATCTAGCACAGCTGATGAAACCAGCCACAATATTTAACAAACAATGCTAAAATACTGCTGTTTTTCTAACTGCAATGAACAAATACTGTAAACGCCAATAATTTCAAGTAGTTTATTAATCTGGTACCCTAGAAAGAGTAGGAATCAAGCTCACCTTGATTCTTCAGATTCTGTTTCATCAAAAGAGCTGCAAGTAAAGTGACAGGAAACTGTTTATAACAAAATTAACTCCACATGAGAGAAAAGAAAAACCAACCCAGTCCATCAAAGGAAAGCAACCTTTTTCTGGTCAGTAGCTACATGATGCAGTGTTATGAAATGAATGTGGGAGATCGTATTTTACAACTACAACTTGGAAATTACAGCTTCCCTTTTACTGTAACAGTTTCGCAAGCATCTATCTATATATAGTCTATGAAGTGATGGGGTACAGTCCCGCTGAGCATATTGTCTGATGTCATTAACTGCAAGTTAAAACTACAAGTCTGTTTTCTCCTTAATCATCTGGAGATGGCCCTGCACCATAGACACCTCTGAGTCTAAAAGGGCTTCAAAATTATCTCCACTTTTTTTCAACTCCTTCTCTCCACTGCAGATCCACACAGCTTCCATTAAAGTCAGAAAGGGCAGGTACCTTTCTGGAAAGCAAGTTCTGACAACACTGCTGGACTATCAACTACATCAGCTTGAATAGCAAAAGAAATTCTCCCTACAAAGCCTATAGCTGCAGATGGTAACAGAGGTTCCAGTTACACTGGGTATTTCTGTAGTCATTACATTCTCAATTGTACTGAGATTCCCTTCCCTGACCCGGATCAAGAACCCTTCCCAGAGGAAGGGCAGTAGGGACATTGGGGTAGATGTCATCAGAAAGGTGAAAGACCCCATTTTCAAACACAAAGAGGGAGATCATAAAATGATGACAGGATTAACTTCTATTTTGTGCAGATACTATGACCATAAAACACATGTAAAGGCTTTCTATGCAATCTTAATGAGTATTTATGAATATCTTACATTTCAGTAAATACTTCAAGATCTATGAGAAGATTGTATTTTTCTCATCTAAACTCTCCTTTGCCTTCCAAGAATATCACATTAAAACTCATTTCTGTCTTTGAACAGACTGGATTTATTTTACCATCTTTTGTGGATATATAAACATACTTAACATGAACCCAATGCCCATTTATTTTGTAGTGTTAGAGTTAGCAGCAAGACCATTTTAAGTCAATGGAATTGCATCAGCACTGAGTGGATATGGGCCTTTTGTCCTCCATGTATTTTTCAGTAAATGAGAGCTTACCCACAGCTTTCTGCTTTTGGCAAGGTAGGTACATGCCGAATGTTCAGGAAATCAAGAAATATTTTAGGGAGCTCTTCATTTTCTAAAATGACTGTCTGTAAAAGAAGAAAAAAAAAAGACACGACAGAAACCCAGTGTTTTTTAGTATTTTAGATATCACACACTTTTATTCAAGCTACCAAAACATTTCCCACTTGCAGTACCTTTCAATTCTTCTCCATTTTTTTTTACACCCATTGTTGGAGGCCTTCATTTCAATAGGAGAACCACAGTTCCTAATGAATCCCATACAAATACCTCCAGTTTATGGTACTACATCCTTTTTCACCTGCCATCACTGGTGCCAAGCTAGATGCCTCTCAAGCAGAGATGTCTGATTCTGGAACTAAATTATTGCCACGCACATTTGTGAATAAAATGTCTATTTAAAACATAAAGTAAAGCAGCTACAGCTCAGTGCTTTCACATTCACTGCACAGAAGACTCCTGCCTGGCACATCAGTGGAAAAGGAAGTCTCCAGTTTGTGCAATTTTATTAATGCATGCCTTGGTACATGCTAACAAGGGAAACTCTTTGCTTGGCCTGACAGGTCAGCTTACAATGTACTCCTTAAATCTGTGTTTTGACTCCTAATGACAAAGCTCTGACCAAAATGCTGCTGGCTAGACCTGCCATATTCTTCCATATCAATAGCATAATGGCCAGACTCTATCTTCCTTTGTTTTTCAATTGATGATTTACAATTTTCAGTAAGTTAATTACAAGTACACTTAAAAATATGTACAAAATAAATGAGATGCTTAGGTTCCTGTTCATCATGAAAGAATGACTTTTAAAGGAAGCAATAAATCTCCTGACAGTTTCATAGAAGCAGACCAAAAATAATCATTGATCTTTAATTTTCACAAGGCAAACAAAACAGTTCATAAATTCAACCTATGTCTCACCTGAAACATTAAGCCCCTATTTATTTACTGTTCAGAATGTCATACATTGTGATAACACATGTACATCACAGCCAAATGAAAGCCACAAGCTCTTCTCTAAAGACCTTTACTTCACAAAGGCCTGATCCAGACAGAATGTATGCATGGAAGAAACTTCATTAGATTTATAAATAAAATTACTTGTACAAGCAAAGCTATCCATGTTCATCCTGTTCATTTTCACACTCTATGTTAGTAGAAACAAACCTAAAGAAACAAGACTCGTGATAGGAACAAACATTATTCTCCTTACATTCAGGAGGTAACCTGCTCCGGCTCGTGTATTCTTCTACATGACAATATCACTAGGGAGACACAATGGTATGTAGAGGATAACAGGGCCACAAAAGTCATCTATCACTTTATAGCAGGTTTTATACCAAAGGGCTTGGTTATTTGCTTAATAAAAACCCAGTTAGTGTAAAAATTACCTAAGATGTACATAGACTTAAAAAGGAAGATATCTGAGAACTTGTTCCTTTTTTATATTACATTTGAAAATCTGAATTCAGAGTCTATATTTCTTCAACAGCTGAGGAAATCACTAACAAGTCTGAAAATAGTAACAGAAAAATGCAGCTTTTGAACTTTTCTGTTCTAGATTTTAACCGATGTAACAAACACGGAGGTCTGAAATGTTGGCAAGTGTTAAGCCTTTCAGTTCACCTCTATATGAAGATGCTGCATTAAAAAATGCCACTTCATTTGCATTGTGCAAAATCAACACTTCGCTGCTGCAAAATTTATCCTGTTCTGCATTCAGGTTATGTATCCACAGAAGGAGGGGTGGAGGAGGATGCATATGCAGAGTATGTGTGAATTGCATAACAATGTGCATGATTTGCTAAAATAAAACCATCTTACTAATTATATGCAATGAAGAACTGTGAAAAGTTGTATGAAGATGTTTAAGGGCATCCAATGCTTACATTCAACCTCATACTTACACCTCCTGACAGCTTCTTCCAAAAGTTGAGCTGCCTGCTGAACAGAACAGTGATTGTCAGGGAAGAAAAGAAGGATACCTCACTGTATAAAAGGAAAACTTCTGACAGCTCTTAGAAACCTATTTGTTTCTACTTCCACTCTCTCTAGGTTAATATCTCATTCTATTATTTTAGTTTTTAGTACATGACATGCATCAAGTCAACACAAGCCCTGCCTGCCCCAACCAAATATATTTCACAAAAAGATGTAAGTAAATAGCATGTGGTTTAGTGTGTTAATCCATATAGTTTGTTATCTGTCCATAACTGCTTTGGTGATCAGTAAATTTAAAAATGTATAATTTGCAGAGAAGCAAAGGCAATTTTGCACTGTACTTTCCTGGATGCCACCTCTGTTGATAGGAAATTTTGTAATTTCCAAAATGTATGAAGGGAGGAATGACTGCATTGAAGAAGGATTTTGCAACTGATGTAATGTGACATGTACTTTAAGGAATTAAAAAATAAATGAAGGTACAAGTTAATTACACTAATAAGGGGGCAAATTATCTTCTGGCTTGACTTCATTTGCTTCGATGCAAAACAGGGCCAGAACATACTCCAGATGTTTAACACAGATGGTACAAACCAAAGGAAAAGAGAAAAAACCTGGGGACAACTGAAAAAAAAACCCCAGCCACACTAGATTAGGTGGGTCTGTCTTGCTGCACTTCCTACCTCTGGTGGTGGCCCACAGTGGATGTCCAGAGAAAAATGAAAGCATTCTCAATTTCCTATTTAAGTTGTTAAAAAAATACTCTTAAATCAGAAATAAATGTCATTGTAATTGGCTTAATTTACCTGGAACAACCCATAACACAACAGATTTTCTTACTTCTGACTGAAAACCTGTAAGAAATACTCTGCGAACTTGATGATCTTTAAATAATACCTGAGCAGAATAGGAACCGTCAGGTGAAGTCTCTAAACCACTAGGTATATTTTGTGATGTAACATCCTCAACTGTAGCCTTTGTTCAAGTAAGTATATGCCACTGGCTTGTAAACATGACTATTACCTTGTTTGCTCTGCAATCAGAAACAAAGATATATATATATATATATACACACACACAAAGAAATAAAAACTCACAGTTAGTTTGTCAGGAATGTGAATTTCTAATATGTCCTAATTCTACCAAGATCATAGCAATGATTTTCAAATACGGGCCCCAGAGTGCTAAGTAGACTAATTTAAGAAAAAACCCAGCATGTGTATTTCCTTCCTAAAATAAATAGAACAAACCCCTAAAACTAAAACACCTAACACAACCTCTGGCAAGTGATTTGGGAAGTGACTCCAGAAATACATTTTTTAAACTCATTGATTTCAGCTGAACTATAAGCGCCGTATTTTCTTAGAAAATCATAAAGGGTGTTTATCTGTTACTGTCACACTTTAATGAACTACTCTGTGCTTCAGGAAAAAAAAAAACAAAACCACAAGGGAAAGCCTGATGTTTACATCAGCAGAAATGTCTTTTTCATCAAAAGGGTGCAATTATTATTATGTAACACAAATCACAAAAATCCCAATTTTTCTACCTTATCAGTTTCATAAAATCATGTTCCCTAAGGATGTCATTGATTAGTTGCACATGTTCTTTCACTGACATCTGAAATACTTAATTGTCGGTTATCTTTTCTCCTTCAGCCAGTAAAATATAGTCACAAAATTGCAAAGGGACTTGTTCTGCCTTAACCTTAGCTAGATGCCATCATGCAGTGGAAAACAGTGCTAAAATATCACAGGATAATGCTCTCCAACAAGGGAGACATATAAACAGCATAATGATTTCCCACGAGTTTCCTTTTTAGAAAATTGTCACTAAAGCCAGGGTAAATGGTGACATATCTTCACAGAGGACACTCCAAAATCGAACACTGGCATTCTAGTTAGGTCCAAACCTACTCATCAGCCAATTATAACAGTAACCGAACATCTTGCTGAAAACCAGAACAAGACCACTTTACTAACCTTAGGAGATCATGCCACAGGAATGCATCATTTCACTGGTTTTTATTATTATTATTACTGTTGTTGTTTTTAATGAAAAAAGATTTAAAAATTAATTTCTCACAATCACCTGTCATGCTTTCTCAACGTTGTTGGAACAGCTGTTGGAGGAGAGAAATGAGAGTGGGGAGCTGAGTTACAAGGTTTTTAGGAGTCCTTACAGACTTTTCCATTCAATTGTGTTTACTTTGAAATGCTGTACTGTTAGGGTGAAAAAGTTCATGACAGTTTTTCCTCTTTTCACAGGCAAAGATGCTTCACAATACCTAATTCACTGGTGCAGCTAAAATGGGGGAGAAGAAAATCAATACATTCTAGCTACAGTAAGTAGGCTGGAGTGTCAGTCTCCACTGGGACCAAAACCCACATCTTTTAGAACACTTTACAGTCTATATTCTTCTATTAACCTGCTTTTCCTGAATAGCTTTACACAGTCCCATGAAATGATAAAAAGGTTACCAAAAAACCACATTCACTAAAAACCAAGTAGACGAAGGAACCAGACTTCTAAGAGCAAGATTTCCTTTTTTTAAAGTAATAGCAGATACAATAATGTTTTATATTACCCATTGTGAAGAACTATTAAGAAACTCACTCATTTCTTCAGTGAGAATGTTGATATAGGTTACCAGCAAGAATTAGTGCTAAGTAAGTTGTCACTTAAGTTGTCATAGTAAGGACTCTCCACTTTTCATTATTACCAAAAGCATTCACCGATGGACAGTTTTGTAAGAACAGGAAGAGGTTATCAAATACACTTAAAACTCTGTAAAAAGAGACAAGAAGCATGCAAACACACATACAACAGCATAGAAGTGATGCTCCATATGAAGTACCAGCTGACTAACAGTCCCAGTCTGTGTATCAAAGGGACGTCAACAGCAAGAGTGCCAAGGGGAGCTTGAAAGAGAACAAGATATTGACTATATGTGTTATATGCCAAAATACTTCCAAAAAAAGATCCATAAGCTACTGAAAGTTAATGTAAAGTCACAAAAGTTTAAAAAAAAAAATCAACGAGGGGAATTGCACTTCTGAACCTCAAGACTGGAGAAGAGTAGAAGAATTCTTGCACCAACTTTCAGATCAACTTGTTATACTTCCAG